GTCGGCTGCGGCTGCGACGGGACGCGCAAGTGCGCGTCGACGCGGTCCGCGCGCCGCATGCTCGGGCTCGAGGACCGCCCGGGCGACGACGCCATGGAGGTGGACGCGGCGCCCCTCGCGCGGGCGCCGCCGGTCTTCGCCGGGGGCTACGACGGCGCGCTGCGGCTGCTCGAGGAGAAGCGCGCCGCGCGCGCCGCGGGCGCGGAATCGCCCGCGCCCGCGCCCGCGCCCGCGTGCCCGCCGGCCGCCCCCGAGGCGGAGCCGGCCTTCAAGGACCGGCGCGCCGTCGCCGCGTCGCCGCCGCGCGTGCAAAAGTACGTGCTCATGTCCGTCGGGGGCTCCTACACGGACTTCCACGTCGACTTCGGCGGCACGTCCGTCTGGTACCACGTGCTCCGCGGCGCCAAGGTCATGTACCTCGCCGCGCCGACGCCGGCGAACCTGAGCGCCTTCAAGCGCTGGAACTCGTCGGCGGCGCAGGCCGCCGTGCCCTTCGCGGCCTACGCGCCGGGCGCCGTCGGCACGGTCCGACTCACGTCGGGCGACACGCTCGTCATTCCTTCCGGCTGGATCCACGCGGTCTACACGCCCGAGGACTCCATGGTCTTCGGGGGCAACTTCCTCTGCACGTCCCACGTCGAGTCCCAGTTGAAGGTCGTGCGGCTGGAGGACGCGCTCAAGGTGCCGCAGCCCATGCGGTTTCCCGCGCTCGACGCGCTCGCCTGGTTCGCCGTCTGCCGGGGCTGCGACGCTTTGAACGCGGGTCTCGTGGCCGGCGAAGCGCCCGACCTGACGGTCAGCGAGCGCCGGGGGCTCGGGCTGCTCGGCAAGTGGCTCCGGAAGCGTTTAGCGATCGAGCTGCCGCCGCCGTCGATCGCGAGCGGCCCGCAGTTGCTCGACACGCTCGACTTTCTTCTGAGCGCGAAGGCGCGGGCGCTCTACGACGGCGACCGGGCCACGGGCATCCGCGTCTTCGAGGACTCGGGCCTGCGGACGCCCGTTACCGTGCGGCTCAGACTGGAACAGCCTCCGAACGAGCCGCGGCTCGAGCCGCTCGACGCGGTCCTCGGCGCGCCGTCGAAGGAGCGCGGCCCGTGCCGCTTCTACGTCGCCGACGACGCGCCGCCGCCGCCGCCGCCGACCCCGAAACCCCGGCCGCCCGTCGCGGCCGCGGAGGTGAAGGCCTCCGCGCTCGACTTCGTGAAACGCTTCGTCGCGGCCGCGCGCGTCGCCGCGAAAGAGGACGCCCGCGAGGCCGTCGCGGCCGCGGCGAAGCGGCGCGAGGCCAAGGCGCTGCACGTGGACCGCCAGCGCGCGCACGCGGCGGCAAACGCCGCGCGGCTCGCGCTCGATCCGGCCGCGCCGCCGCTCGCGCCGCCGCCGCGGCCCAAGGGCCCGAGCCCGCCGAAGCGCGCCTACCTGCGGCTCCCGCGCGGCGTCGCACCGGGCGACGTCGTCGACGTCGACCTGCCGGACTCGCTCCAGCCGGGCGGCGCGGCCGCGCTGCTCAAGGGCGCGGCCCGCAAGTCCCTCGCGGTCGTCGTGCCGCCCGAGGCCCTGCCCCACCGGCTCCTGCGCGTCCCGCTCTCCTAACCTAGCTTACGGCGCACGCCGTCGACCGGCGGCCCGACGGTGTCTCGCGCTGCTGCTTCGGCGGCGGCCCCGCGGCCGTCGCGCGCCGCGCGCCGCGCGGGCTCGGGCCGAGGGGACGCCGCGCGGACGCGGGCGACGCGGCGAGGCCCGTGCCGCTGTGGCGCTGGCGCCGCGTCGCCTCCCGGACGTCCGCGACGTGCTTCGCGCGGCTCGTCGTGTGGGACGCGATGACGCGCCGCTTGACCTCCTCCCGCTCGACGTCGCGCCGCTCCGCGGCCGCGGCGCAGGCCCAGACGCCGGCGAAGTCCGGCGCGGCCCGGGCGAAGACGAAGCTCGCCTCGCCGACGGCGGCCGCCCGGAGGTCCGCGAGCGCGCGCTTGAGCTCGTCGAGCGACGCGACGTCGACGGCGCCGACTTTCGCGACGCGCGACCCGACGACGTCGCGGCGGTCGCGGAACTGGGACGCCTCGGCGAGCCCCCGCACGCGGCACGACGCGTCGAGGCTCAGGCCCAGCGCCGCGCGCGGGTCGCCCCGGACGACCACGAGATCCTCGGCGCCGCTAGCGCCCGCGGGGCCCGCGGCGCCGAGCTCCGCCGTCAGCGCCGCGGACCGCTCGGCGACGCCGCGCGCCGCGGACCGCTCGAGCGGGGGCGGCTCGGCGGCCTCGTCCGCCGCCTCCTCCGCGGGGGCGGACCCGGACGCGCGCCGCTTCAGCGGCGACCGCGCCGGGCTCGCGGCGCCCGGCGGCCCGGGGCTCCGGACGCCGCCGTCGCGCGAGTTTCGCCCGGCGTCGGGGCTCCGGAAGCCGCCGTCGCGCGAGTGTCGCAACGGGCTCCCCTGGCCGCGCGCGCGGTCCCGGGGCTTCGGCGGCGACAGGCTCGACTCGGAGTCGCGCGAGCTCCGGCCCCGCGGCCGCATCTCCGCCCAGCCGTCGGCGCTCGACCGGTGCGTCGGCGACGGCACGACGGGGCTGAAGGCCGTGCAGGCGTCGACGCCGTCGTCGAGGTTCGCGTCGCTCGGGACCTTGACCAAACGCCCGGGCCGCGCGGCGCCCAAACTCGGCCGCCGCTCGTCGCAGAGCGAGTCGGCGATGGAGTCGGCGATGGACGCGAGGGAGTCGCTCCGCCGCTGGTGGCCCTCGACGCTCGCGATGGACCCGTGGCTCGTCTTGCCGTCGCGGCTGTCCTCGCCGGAGAGGCCGCTGAGCTCGCTGGACCGCCGCCGCTCCTGGCGGTCCACCTCGACGACGCGCCGCGCGTCGTAGTGGACCGACGCGACGGAGTCGTGGTCGTTGAGCATGACGTACCCGTCGGGCGGCAGTGTCGCCGCCATCTTCGAGTTTTGAGGCGGCCAGATGGGCAGCCCCGAAACTCCTTGAAGGTTGCATGAAAGTTGTACTTGCACGGCGGCTTGAAGGCGACCATCACGATGATCGTGGCGGATCGTGACATGTGAGTAAACTCGGCCGGGGGAGGGCGACTTGTACGGGGCTTGACGGCGACGCTCCGATGATCGTGACATGTTAGTAAACTCGGTCGGGGGGAGGGCGACGCGCGAGGAGCGTCTCTCGCTCGCGCTCGCGTAGTTTGAGGGGAGGATCCGGAGGGGCGGTTGGTGGTCTGCGGACGTCGTGCGAGATCTTCGGGGGGTCAAAAGGAGCGGTATCGCGCAAGGGGCGACACGGGTGCGCCGTGGCCCTCGCCGTCATTCACGGACGTGGATCGTCCGTCGCTCGTTGGCCCGTCGTCTCGTCACCGTCGTCGACCGGATCGGTGGCTTGGTACTTGGACGCCGCGGCCGAGAGGGGCTGCGGCGTGATCGAGAGAGGTGGGAGGCTCCCGCCCGGCGGCGAGAGCGGCGTCAGGAGGGGCTGGAGGCGGCGCGGCGGGAGCCGGTCCGCGGCCGGCGGCTCCTCGGCGACGGCGGCGAGCGCGGCCGCCGCCGGCGCCGCCGCCGCGCCTCACGCCGCCTCCTCGACCTTCTCGCCGTCCCCGTAGGCCTCCGCCGGCGCCGCCTCCGCCGCCGTGTCGACGGACTCGGCGGCGACGCTGTCCGCGGGCGCGAGCTCGGGCGCGTCGGCGGCCGGCGCCGCGGGCTCGCCGGCCGGCGGCATCTCGTAGACGGGGCTCGGCGCCTCCTGGGGCGCGGGCTCGGGCTCGGCGGGCTTCTCCGCGAGGCCGGAGCCCGGCACGTGCAGCGGCCGCGGGCTCGACCGCTCGATGTCCGCGGCCGTCTTGCCGAAGAACTTCTCGAGGTACGGCGTCGCGTCCGCCGAGAACTCCGTGTTCGGCGCCGTCTCGACCGTGTCGAGGCTCTCGTCGCCGCCGTGGGCCTTGGCGACGAGGCGCTTGCCGAGGGCCGTGGCGACGTCGAACATGTGGAGCCGCGACTCGCCGACGTCGTTCTCGACGATCTCCTTATGTCGAATGTGGAGGCCCAGCTTGAGGATCTCCGCCTCGAGCTCGTCGTTGCTCGCGACGTACTTCTCCCCGAAGCCCATGGGCTCGTCCAAAATCTGGATCAGCTCCTTGAGCTCCTTGAGCTTGATGTGCCACGACGCGTGCTCGTCGAAGCGGCTCCAGTCCTCGACGAAGTTCGCCAAATCCGTCTCCGAGAGGCCCAGGCCCTCCTCCTCCTCCTCGTCCTCGTAGGCCGACAGGATGATGCCGACGAAGAGGTTGAGCACGACGCCCGTCACGATGATGTCGAAGATGTGGATGATCGCGCCGGCCCACCACTTGTCGCCGCACGCCGACAGGGGCACGCAGCAGTTCTCGTAGGACACGAACTCCTGGCACATGTCCTTCTTCTGGCCACCATCCAAGCCGTGCGTGTGGAAGGACGCGCACTGGCAGGTCTCGCGGTCGCCCCCGTCGAGCCGCGTGCACCACTTGTCCTGCCAGTAGGCGCCGGGCTCCGCGTCGTACATCTTCGTGCGGATCTTCTCGAACTGCGCGCCGCCCCAGCAGCCGGACGCGCCGCGCCACTTGAAGTTCATGTCGTGCATGAAGCCGTTCCAGTTCTCGCCCGTCGTGAAGCGGATCAGCGTCAGGATGGCGATGGGCACGTGCTGGAAGTTCGCGTTCGGGTGCACCGTCTCGCCGTACGACAGCCCCGCGAAGAGCTCCACCAACAAAATGGCCCAGATGCCGATGAAGATCATGAGCACGAGGCCCACGTTGCCCATCTGGGGCAGGGCCGACATGAGCGTCATGATGAGCGTCTTCATCGTCTTCGCGGAATTAAAAAGCCGGAAGATGCGCGCGATGCGGAACAGGCGGACGACGGACGCGACGCCGCCGATGTCGCTCGGCGTCACCCAGGAGATGAAGTAGCCGAGGTCCGTGCCGATGACGATCAAAAAGTCGAAGCGGTTCCAGGCCTCGACCCAGTAGTTCGTCCAGCCGATGCCCAGGATCTTGAGGATGGCCTCTATATTAAAAATGATCGCGAACATCATGTTGATGAGCTCGATGGCCACGGTCATGCCCTGGGGCTGGCCGAAGTGGTCTAAACCCATAAATAACCCGTTGATGACGATGCAGGCCATGATGAAGTTCTCGAAGGTGGCCTTGTGCTCGCCCTCGACGATGTTGTAGCAGGGCACGTTCACGGGCTTGATCTTGTGCTTGGGCTTGACCATCTCGATGATGAACTTCTGGGTCTTGACCCACTGCTCCTGGGACGCCGTCATCATGACGCCCTTGCGGCCCTCCTGCTCGGCCTGCTCCTTGAGCTTGCCGAACTGCTCGATGATGACGCCGACGAACAATTGCATCGCGAAGAAGCCGCCGACGAACTGGAAGAGCACGTGGTAGAAGAAGCTGTAGAAGCGCGGCAGGGACCGCCGCTGCTCGCGGAAGCCGTGGTCGCGGATGGGCTGCATCTCGATGCCGTTGGCGTCCACATTATAATACATGTAGTCGAGCCAGCCCTCCGTCGAGTAGATCTCGAAGAGTAGAGCGAACGCGGTGTCGAAGTTGTCGAAGGACATGTAGAGCGGGTTGCTCCAGGCGTTCTCGTCCTTGAACATGCACTTGCACATGTCCTTCGAGGTCGGGATGTACTTGTCGAGGTTGCCCGTCGCCGGGACGTCCGCGACGTGGTCGAGGAACGCCTGCGGCACGTCGCTCCCGTCCGTGAGCCACGGGTTCGCGGTGAAGTAGGACTTCGTCGGCGGGGAGATGCCGTACTCGGCCTTCTCCAGGTCGCCGGGCGCGTGGGAGAACTTGGACGAGATGACGCCGGGCCGGCCGGACGTCTCCCAGTCGTGCTGGAAGTCGGAGATGACCGTACTGTGCGTGTTGAAGTAGTCGTGGCCGTTGACCCACTTCACGTCCCACGAGACCCAGCACTGCGTCCCGTAGCCGTACATGGCCATGGACGCGTTGTGGAACTCCTCGAAGGCGCCGGACTTGACGGCCTTCTTCAGGTGGATGGGGTCCTCGATGACGCGCGCGATCGTGTCGAAGTACTGCTCGGGGATTCCGCCGCCGTACGTGTCGACGTCGCACATGTTCATCTGGCCCTTGAAGAAGCCCACGCCCAAAATGGCGAAGATGGACATGAACAGGATGCACACGACGACGACGTTGAAGGCCGCGGGGATGGCCACGAGCAGCGAGTTGAGCACCAACCGCAAACCCGGGTACCGCGAGAGCATGCGGAGCGGCCGGAAGACGCGGAACGCGCGCAGCACCTTGAAGACCTTGACGTCGACGCCCAGGGGCACGCCCAAATCGCCGAGGAACGTCACGATGGAGATCATGACGATGGTAAAATCGAGCTGGTTCCAGGGGTCGTAGATGTAGGAGTCCGGCCCGTTCATCGCGAAGCCGAACGCGATCAATTTCAGGATGAACTCGACGAGGAAGATGAAGGAGAAGAGGTAGTCCAGCGTCGTGAAGAGCGTGAAGATGGGCATCTTCGGGTCCATGAGCGGCGTCTTGCAGGCGAGCATGAAGGAGCCGACGATGATGCACGCGATGATGATCTGGTCGAAGAGCGGCTTCTTTATCGTCTCGACGCAGAGCTTGCGCACGGGGTGGTCCACGGGGAACATGTAGAGGGACACGTTGGGCTTCTCCTTGGGCGGGGCCGTCTCCTTGGGCTTGGGCTCCGTCTTCGGCGGGTGCACCGCGGCCTCGACGTCCTCGGGGTCCTTCTTCTTCTTCGCCTTCAGAGCCGCGATCTGGAAGGGCGTGAGCTCCTTCGCGTCGGAGTCGCCCGGGTCGTCCTCGGTGCCCTTCTTCAGGATGTTGACGGCCTTGGCGACCTGGCGGAAGGACTTGAGCTTGCGGAGCGACTCCTCGCGCGGCGCGGGCTGGCTCAGCTCCTCGTTGTCCTCGAACTTGGACAGGAGAATCGCCAGGAACATGTTCATGACGAAAAAGGCGAGGATGATGATCGTCAGCATCATGTAGAAGACGCCGTAGTAGACGTTGTCGCGGCCGCGCATGAGGTCGTACATGACCAGGTTCCACGACTCGCCCGTCAGCACGCCGAAGACCGTGATCATCGACGACATGAAGTCGTCGAAGTTCAAATCCACGGGGTCCAAATCCGAGTAGGCCGGGTCGAGCTTGCACTCGCCCTTGGCGCTGTCGCAGACGCCGGCCTGTCGCACACACGCACCGTCCTCTATCATCCCGTCGCATACCCCGAAGGCGACCTTCGCGCCCGTGTCGTCGTCGAAGCGGAGCTGGTTCGCGAAGAGCTGCATGCCCAGCAGCCCAAAAATAAAAACCATGAGCATGAGCAGCACCAAAAAGTTCCCGATCTCCTTCGCCGTCTCCGCCATCGTCGCCAGCAACACTTGCAGGGACTGCCACGACTTGAAGAGCTTGAAGATCCGAAACACGCGGAAGCAGCGGAACGCGGAGATCGCGCCGCCGCCGAAGCCCGCGTCCGACGCCGCGAGAATCATCGTGATGATGGACACCCAGACGATGGTGAAATCGAAGAGGTTGAACGTGTCCGAGGCGTAGTTGGCCCAGCCCAGCGCCACGAGCTTGAGGACCATCTCGACGATGAAGACGAACGCCAAGACCAGATTGGACACCTCCATGAAGTTGGACCACTCCTCGTCGCGCGGGTAGTCGTCGAGGCATAAAGCTACCGTGTTCAACCCGATGCAGAGGTAGATGAAGTTGTTGAACATGTCGGACGTCACGAAGTCGAAGAGCATGAGCCGCGGCGGCGGTCCCGGGATCGTCGCGCGCATGCGCGCGATGATGTCGGCGTCGTCCTCCTCCTCGCCTTTCGCGAGTTTCACGCCGCCCGACGCCAGCGCCAGCGCGGCGGCCTCGGCCTCCTCCTCGGCCTCCGCGTCCTCCTCGTCGCCCAGCGTGTCCGCGATGACGCCGAGCACCAGGTTCAGCACGAGCATGGACCCGACCGCGAACAGGCTCAGGAACAAAAAGATGGAGATGGGCGGCCAGGCCGCGTCCATGCAGTGGTACATGATGTCCGTCCAGCCCTCCATGGTCACGGCCTGGAACAACGAGATCATCGCGGAGCCGAGGTTGTCGAAATTCGTGTACCCGAAATTCAGCGAGTCGGAGAACTCCGGGTAGAGCGTCGCGTAGAGCCCCGCGGGGAAGCGGCTCCAGTCCGTGAGCTGCACGGGCACGGTCTTCTTCTTGTCCTGCCACATGTAGATGTCCTTGCCGACCTTGGGCGAGAACTTGAAGCGCCGGTTGCCGCGCTCGTCGTAGTTGGACCCGCAGTACGTCGGCCCGGACTCGACGGGGTCGTAGGACTTTTCCGGGAAGACGGGGTCGTCGTTGGCGTCGCTCCGCGGCGCCCAGCCGGGCCCGTGCGTGCCCGCGACGACGACCTCGTAGGACGGCCAGCCGTCGCCGCGGTCGTCGACGGGCGGGTAGACGCCGTCGTCGCCGCTGTAGTCGCCCGCGAGCACGTAGCCGGACCGCTGCTGGCGGCCGTTCTCGTAGCACTTGTGGAGGCCGCCTAAACCGAAGATCTCGTTGGCCTTGGCCGCGCAGGGCCGGCCGTCGTCCTCGTCGATGAGCCAGAGGCACCGTTTGGACGACTGCCACGGGTGCTTGCCGTCGTCGCCGTTGAGGTCGCCCTCGGCGTACTTGTGCGCGTACGTGTCCGTCACGGGGATGCCCGCGGGGCCCGGGAACGTCGCCGTCGCGCAGGCCCAGGTGTCCTTCGAGTCCCAGCTCTGCCAGTTGTAGTCGTCGCCCGCGTCGAGCGCGCCGCAGAGGCCCTCGACCGAAGAACAGTTCGCGAGCATCGCGTCGTAGCCCACCGTGCGGTAGCCGTAGTCGATGCGCAGCATGAGCTCGCGGTAGGCGTCGAACTCGTCGTCGGACGGGAAGTAGTTGCCGTAGAGGCACGTCGGGCACTCCGTGGACCCGTCCGGGCACGACACGCCGTCGACGCACGGCCGGTACCACGTGTCCGGCACCCGCGTCGGGTAGGGCGTGATGCGGCACCGGAAGTGCAGCGCGCCCTTGAAGAACTGCATGCAGGCGATGGACACGACAAACAGCAGGAAGGTGAGCAGCGTCACGGTGACGGCCAGCCCGTCGAACGCCGCCATGAACGTCACGACGATGCGCCGGAGGCCCTGGAACTTCGACAGGGACTTGAGGGGCCGCAGCAGCCGGAACATCTTGAGGGACTGGAGCGCCGACAGCGACGGCACGGCCTGGGCGCCGATCCAGGACATGACGCAGACGAAGTCGAGGATGTTCCAGTTGTTCTTGAGGTACGTGTGGGGGCCCTCCGAGTAGAAGCCGAGCGCGAAGATCTTGCAGACCATCTCGATGAGGAAGACGGGGCCGAAGACCCAGGAGTTGGTGAAGTCGCCGACGACGTTCTGCCAGCACTTGTCCGGGTCCGGCGCGCCGAAGTTGGGGTTGTCGTGCGCGACGCCGTTGCGCCCGGGGTCGCCGTTGCGGTCGAGGCACTCGATGCGGTAGTCCGTCATGGCCATGATGATCGAGTTGAGGCCGATGAAGACGATGATGACCATGTCGAAGGCCGGCGCCCGCGTGAGCTTGACGAAGAACTGGCGGAGCCCGTCGTCCGGCGCGAGGCAGCCCAGGGCCTTGTCGCAGAGCTGCGCGCGGGGGGGGGGGTCGCGTGAGCGCGCGCGCGCGGCGGGGAGGGGGACGCGGGCGGCCGTGCGGGCGGCCATTTGTCCTCCTCGGCCGCGGCGTCCGAGCCCTCGGGGTGCACCTTGGTCGTCATGACGTACGGCTTGCCCTCAGAGCCCATCGACCACGCCCATCCACGGGCCAAGGCTGCGACGGGGAGGGGAAGGGCGTCGGGGCGCGCTCCGGCGCGATACGAAGCGGCGCGCGTCGACCCCCGGGCGCCCCGGAGGCGGCCTCTCGCGCCGTCCCGGCCGGGCCCCGGCCCGGCGCCCGGCGACAACGCTCCCGTCCGCTGACGGCGCGCGGGCCGGCGCGCGGGCCGGGGGCTGCCCCCCGGCCCGCCCCGGCGCGTCCCGCCCGCCCGATGCGCCGCCGGCGCGTCCGCCGCCCCGCGCCGCCGCCGGAACCCGCGCCGACCGACCGCCGGAACCTCGACAATGCAGACGCTGCGCCATACCGAGCCGCTATGTGAGGGAGCAGCTACCCGACAGCGGCGAGCAGAGATATGCTGGGGCGTTATGTAGTACTTCAATAGCTTTTATATCCAACCGGGGCTGCTCCGTCTTCTGCCCCCGGCGCTCTCCCGCCCCCGCCGCGCCGCCCTCCGCGGGGTCCCGCCCCCCGCCGCCGCCGCCCGAGGCCGGCACCGAAGCCAGCCGCCCGCCGGGGCGCCCCGGACCGTCGGGGCGCGCGAGGAACCGCACGGCACGCCATGCCCTGCATGATGGACGACGCGCCCCGGGGCGCCCTCAAGGAGGCCGCGGGCTTCGAGTTCCGCCAGAACACGCTGAGCGACCTGCGGAACCGGGGCATCCTGAGCGACAAGGAGTACAAGCGCAAGCTCAAGCGGTCCCTGGACCGCCAGCAGACCTGGGAGCGCGAACGCCGCGAGGCGGACGCGCGCGCCGCGCGCGAGCGCGAGCTCGCCCGCCAGGCGAGGAACGACGGCCCCCGCGCGGCGTCGGACCGCGAGCGCTTCCTCGCCGCCTGTCCCGACTACGACGACCTCGTCCGCCGCGACGTCCGCGTCTCCATGGACACGATGTACTTTTCGGCCGTCGTCATCCAAAAGGTCTGGCGGGGCGTGCTCACGCGCCTCGTCTCCAAGTGCATCGTCATCCAGGCCTACTGGCGCGGCTGCATGACGCGCATGCGCAAGGCCCGCGGCTACTACGCGAAGGCGCGCCGGAGCCTCCGCATGGTCCGCGGCCTCTCCGGGTCCTCCATGGGCGGCGGCTCCCCGAAGCAGAAGCGGCGGGACAACCGGTAGAGCGGCGCGCGGACGACGACCCCAAGCCCCGCCCCCGGAAAGAAAAGAAAAAAATGAAAGATCAAGACGCGGCGCGCGCGCGCAACTCCGCGCGCCGCCGCCGCCCGACCCCCAGGCAACCTCAATTTGGAATCTTAAGTTACCTTTTGCTGTTTTGGAACACCATCGGGCGGTCCTAAGGTCGCCGGGACTCGGGAGGCGTGTCCCCGGGGAGGCGCGGCCGGTTCTCAGTGCACTCGAGGTCCCGCAAGTACCGCAATTCAAGACTTACACTTACTACGTTTCTTCGCCTTCTTGAGGAGGTGGCCGACGCGCATGACGCCGTCCCGCGACTCGGGCAGGAGGTCGCCGGGCCGCCGCTTCCGCTTCGGCTTCGCGCCGCCGCGCGTCGCGTCGCGCTTCTCCGTCGGCGCGACGACGCCCGACGCGCGCCGCTCGTCGAGGATCTTCTTCTCGCGCTTGTCCTCGGCGCGGCGGATGCCCAGGAGCATCTTCAGGGGCATCTTCTGCGCCTTTTCGGCCTTGGCGCCGAACGCGACCATTTTTTCGTTCTCGCGGATCTTCTGCTGCCGCCGGCTCAGGCCCGTCGCGCCAAAGTCGAAGACGTCCTTCTTCGCCGCGCGCAGCGACATGAAGTTCGGGTCCTTGCCGTTCTTGCCCTTGCCGCGGCCGCCGCGGCCCGCGCCGCGGCCGCCGCCGCCGCGGCCGCGGCCGGCGTCGATGGGTCTCGGTGTCGCTTGCTGTTTCTTGGGCTTGAAGGCCTTCGGCTTCGGGCCCGTCTTCTGCGACGTGTCGTTGCCGCTGCGCGAGAAGGCCATGCTCGGCATGGCGACGCGCTGGGCCATCGTTTTGGCGGTGTTTTCAGACGATGTTTCGCCGCAGCGATCGTCGCAGCGTTCGTGGGCGTTCCTCGCGCGTCGGAGCAGCGCCCGAATAGGTCGCAGCGCGGCGCGTGTCGATGCGCGCGACGACGGCCGGCGTGCGGCGATAGATGTTGCTGTGCTCCACGAGGTTGCTGTCGAAGGTCAGGATGGAGCTGAAATTCTTCGCTTTTGCGCTGGCCGTCGCCACCGCCTGGGTGCCGCCGGCGCCCGCGCACCGCCCCGCCGTCGCGGTCCGCATGGGCCGCGGGTCGCGGGGCATGGCGCGCGAGGAGGTGGACCGGTCCCGGCGCCAGAGCCGCGTCGCGCAGCTCGTGCGCAGCGAGCTGGCGACGGTGATCCGCGACGGCGCGTTCCTCGTCAAGACCGGGGACCGCGTCGACGCCGAGGTGCTCAAGTCGACGTCCGTGCTCGACGTGTCCGTGTCGCCGGACCTCCGCGCGGCGACGGCGACGATCACGACGCTCGGCGACACGAGCGCCAAGCGCGAGGCCTTCTCCTGGCTCGTCAAGAACGAGCGGAGCGTGCGCTACGCGCTGGCGAAGCGCCTGAAGCACTCGAAGCGCGTGCCCGCCGTGACCTTCCGCAAGGCCGACGTGTCCGCGGCGACGAAGCTCATGGATCTGATCGACCGCGCGGCCGACGACGGCGGCGACGGCGGCGCCGGCGTCATCGACGGCCTCGACTTCGACCTCGACCTCGACGACGAGGCCGAGGCGGTCGAGGAGGCGGCCCCCGACGACGACGACTTCGCGGCGCTCCTCGCGAGGCAGGCGGCGCGGCGCGCGACGCTCGGCGGCTCCGCGGAGGGCGACCTCGCCCTCCTCGACGACGACGACGACGAGCTCGACTTCGACCTCGACCTCGACGACGGCGACGGCGACGACGACGCGTGAGTGTGTAACTGGGTTTCGTTCGTGTTAGAGGGGGCTACGCGCCTTCCTCGTCAAGGAGGTCACGGAGGTCCATGTCTTCTTGCCAGGCGGCGTTGCGCTCGAAGGCGCTGATACCTGCCTTCGTCGTGACTCCGAGGGTGTCGCATCTCTCCGCGCTCGACCGCGCTGATCTGCTCGAGCGCAGATACGGCTTTATCGTGGCCTTTGGCAGCCGCGCGCGCGAACCAGCGTTTGGCTTCTTCGAGGTCTTGTGTCACGCCGCGCCCGGTCACGTAGCGTTCACCGACATTGTACTCTGCCTGGGTGATCCTTTGCTTTGCGGCGAGCTCAAGTAGGCGGAAGGTCTCTTCGTGTGGGGAGCCGTTGTCTTCAAGGAATTCTGCGAGCTTGGCCTGCGCATGCGCATATCCCCTATCCGCAGCTGTACGCCAGAGCTGCAACGCCTTGTTCTTGTCCAACTTGACACCGTCTCCGGCTGCATACAAGACCGCAAGGCGCGAAGCCGCCTCCGCGTCACCGAGCTCCACAGCGCGCTTGTAAATCTTCGCTGCCTTCTTCGTGGATTTCACGACGCCGCAATCGCCTACAAAGTGCGTCAATTGACGATGTTCCACATTTTTTGCCGGTCTAATCTCTCGGAAAAGGACGCTCGAGATCACCGATGCGATACACATTGCCCAGGAACGTCACCGCTTCCGGCACATCGTTCTCCACGTGGCGACGAAGAAGTGCCAGAGATTCGGCGTCACTTTTAGGGGACGGCGCCCGACAGACAGGGCACGACCCGTAGCCGGTCTTCTCGGCGCAAGAGCTGCAGATCCGCCGGCAGCAGCAGAGTACGATCGTACTCCTCACATTCATGTCCCACTCCTCCAAGCAGACCGGGCATCGCGATCCGAACCGTGCCGACTCCGGCTCCGGCTCCGGGTTCGCCTCGCGCCGCGCGCGGGCAGCCTCGTGTTCCGCCGCGATACGCGCGCGATCTCGTCGGCTTGCGACCGCGGCGCGGGGCCGTAGAAGAGCTCCCGCGGGGGCGGGGGCGTCGGGGCCTCCGCCCGCGCCGCCTCGGCCGCGCGCTCGTCTCGGATCTTTTTGCACGCCTTCCGGTGGCCGCGGTCGCGCCAGTCGATCTTTTGGCAGGCGACGCTGCAGTAAGACGTGGTTCCGCAGGGGCAATTAAGCTTTGCCTCCTCACCGCAGATGGTGCAGGTCAGGCGCAGCTTCAATTCTTTGACCCGGGCCATGCGCTCTTCATATTCTTTTTGCTTCTTTTCCCAGTCGCGCATCGTGAAGTCGTCGTAGCAAGGGGTCGTGCGGTCTCGTTAGCGTCGGTTGGGGGTCGTGGGGTCCCTGGCGTCGGGGCGGGGGGGCTTAGCGGGTGCCTGCGCGCGTCGCTCGCGCCGCCTCAAAATCGCAAACTTAGTCGCCAGATTCTCGCCACAAGCGATCGAGAGTCGCAATGCGAGCGCCCTGGCTTGCGATAATCGCGGGGTGTATAGCAACAGACCCAATCATACAGAAGACCGTCTCGTCACCAAAGACCCGCTTCGTCTTCTGGGCGGGCCTCGAAGGCTCGGGCCATCACGGCGTCAAAACCATCGGCGAGAGATGCGCCAAGACCGAGCTCTGCGACGTACCGCACGACGCCTGGGCGGCGCTCGTGGACCTCCACCGGGTGAATAGCGACCCCGGGTCGCTGTCGCGCAACGGGTCCATCTACGTGCTCGGCTACCAGGCCGCGGACCGCGTCGCGGCCGCGCGGCGAGGCTTCGCCGCGCGGCTCGGCGCGCTCGCGGAAAGCGAAACGTCGACGCTCGTCTTCCTCAACGGCGTGAAGCTGCCGGGCATGGGCATGCTCTCCTACCCCAGCGGCGGCGCGGCGCGCAAGTCGCTCACGCGGCCGGACGCGCGGACCTTGGCGGCGCTCGCCGAAGCCGCGCGCGCGGATTTGCGCGTCGTCGTGCTCCGCCGGTCCGCGGCGGCCATCGCCCGGTCCACGGTACACCACCGCCGCTTCGGCGCCCACGACGGCAACGGCCACGCGCGCCAGCTCGCGACGCTCGCGGAGAACGGGGCAGGACAAGGGTGATTCAACGTCGCTTCAACGTGAGTGTTCCGCGCGCGCGCGTTTCGGAAAAAGCACCCACGCTTCGAGAGCGCTCCGAGAGATGATCGCTCGTCCAAAGATCAGCCGAAACGAGTGGAAAACGGCCGAGATAGGAGCCTTTGAAGTTGGGCATGTCGCACCCTTGTCCCGCCCAGGCGGAGAACGCGGCCGCGCTGGCGGCGCAGCTCTCGCTCGTCGACGCTTCTTTCGTTCGCTGCGTCGACTACGACAACCTCGGCGACGCCCGCGCCTGGGGCGCGACGGCCGCCTGGCTCCACCCGGGGCTCGGCGGCGGCGGCCTCGCGGGCTTGCTCGCGGACGTGCGGCCCGCGGCCGCGGCGCCCGCGGCGGAACGCGACGTCCACTTCGACCACTTCAACGCCACGCTCGCCGTCCTCGACGGCCACTGCGGCGCGCCCGTCCCGCGCCTCGCCAAGCGCGCGACGTCGCCGACGACGCGCTTCCTTTTCCTCGCGGCGCTCGACGGGTCGCCCGTCGCGGGTACGTTCGACGAAACGCTCGAGTTCGACGACGCGGCGACCGCGCTCGGCGACCGCACCGACGCCGACGTGGCGCGCGCGCGGGCGCGCCTCGTCGCGGACCTGCGCGCGCGGCGCGGCGCGCGCGGTTTCGTCGGTTTGGCCGCGGTCCGGGCCGCGGACGAAGCGCCGCCGCAGTGGATGCGGCTCACGGGCGCCGCCGGGCGGCCGGACGTCGCCGTCCTCGCGGCGCTCGCCGAGGACGCCGGCGCGGACCTGCGCGTGCTCGTCGTCGACGCCGCGGCGCCCGCGGCGCGCCGGCTCCGCGCCGCGCGCGGCGGCCGCGCGGCCGCCGCGCGGGCGAGCGACGACGTCGCGCGCCGCCACCCGGCGGCGCAGGCCGCCGCCGTGCGCGCCCAGGGCGCCGCCGTCGTCGCGTCGCAGCTCGCGCGCCTCGACGCGGCGTTCGTCCGCTGCGCGGCCGCGGACGCGGCGACGGCCGCGTGGGTCCACCCGGACCTCGGCGCCGCGGGCCTCGCGGCCCTCCTGCGCCGGGCCGGCGCCGCCGCGCCCGGGGCGCCCCGCGACGCCGCCGGCGACGTCCACGCCGCGCACGCGGCCGCCTACGTCGGCGTCGCGCGCCGCGCCGCGCGATGCCCCGCCTAACTACTAGTAGGACTTCAACGATGATGCGGCCCGAAGAGTGAAGACAACGACGATGGGACGCGCGCTGATCTCCGCGGATCCGGGCCTCCTGGAGGCGGAGGAGGACCTGCACAGCTTCTGCGCCCGCGCGCTCGCCGCGGCGACGGCGGCCATGGCGCAGCCCCTCGACGAGTACGTCGCGTCCCCGTCGAAAAAGGGCTGCGACCGCTACAGCCCCATCTGCGTGCCGGAGCCGCCGCCGCCCGTCGCGCGGCCGCGGCCCACGCGCCCGGCGCCGCGCCTCGAGGACGAGGCGCCGGAGACATGCGCCGCGCCGGAAACCGCCGCGCCGGCGGCGGTTTCGTCCGCGCTGCTGCCGGCGCTCTGCGAAGACGCCGTCGCCGTCGCGCTCGGCTTCGCGGCGCCGCGCGACCTCGCGGCGCTCGCGACCTGCGGCCGCGGCTGCGAGGCCTTCGTCCGCGCGCTGCCGGAGGACGTCTGGCGCGCCGCGGCCGCGAGCGCCTGGCCCGCGGTCGTCGCGGGTTGCCCCGATCCCGCGGCCGTCGGCCGGAGCCACCGGACGCTCTGCCTCGAGCTCGGCGGCCGGCGCTGCGCCTGCTGCGGCGGCGCCCTCGAGGCGCACCCGGCGGAGTACGCCGGCCCCTACGCGGCCCTCGCGGCCGCGGTCGCGCGGCTCCGCGGCGCCGGCGACGCGTGGCGCCACGCGCCGCTGAAAAAGTCGGGATCGTCGGCGCGGGAGTCGTGGTACCGCTCCGGGAGCTCGCTGACGCTGCACCTCCGGGGCCCCGACGCGCGGCTCTGCTGGTCGTCGGCCGTCGACGACGCCTGGCGCGTCAAGTTCTCCATGGCGCCGCCCGAGGGCCCGCCCAAGTCCTGGACGCTCGTCTTCACCCAGGGCGCGGACCGGGCCGTCCGCCTCGGCTCGGTCTACGAGGCGACGCGCCGCGGCGCGCCGACGGAGGTCATCGCCGAGTTCGCGCCCCGGGATTTGAAGGGGCGTCGCGTCGCCGCGGCGGACGAGCTCCGCCAGCTCGCGCGGTCTCCCTCGGGCCTCCGCTACACGGCGTCGTCGCGCCTCGCGGAGCTCCAGTGGCGCGTCGCCGACGGCGCCCACGGCGACGCCGCGGAGGCGCTCGCGGAGGCGCGGCGCCTCGACGACGGCGCCGCCGCCGTGGGCGAAAACCACACCGCGTTCCACGCCGCGCTCGCGGCCGCGCTCGCCGTCGTCTTCCCCGCGGCGCTGTCGCCGGCCCCGGAGACGACCCCGCGACACATCCGCCTGGGCGGCGCGTAAAATTTTACTGCTGGGCGCAGTCGGCCTCGTTGCCGCCGTTCTCGGAGAACTTGCCCTGCGCGGACTCGACCCAGGCCGTGACCTCCTTGGCGAGCTTCTTGTTCTCGCGCAGCGCGCGCTTCTTCGCCGCCTCGACGTCGCGGTTTAGAGCGACGACGTTCTTGTCCGCGGGCGCGAGATCCGCCGCGGCCTTGGCGTCGCGGAGGGCCTGCTTCAGGTGCTTCTGCTGGAGGTGGGCGCGCGCCCGGAGGATCTTCGTCGTGACGAGGTGGTGCTCCAGGAGCTCGTCGAAGGCCGCGATGCCGCCCGCGAGCGTGCAGCACGACACCGCGTCCTTCGCGCGGTCCGCGCGCGTCGCGCACCGCGCGAGGTTCAGGTACGTCGTCAGCTGGATGGCCCGGCCCTCGGGCTTCGGCGCGACGACCGCCAGGATGCGCTTCCGCGAGATCTCGTCGTCGTCCTCGCCGCCGTCGTCGTACATGACGTCCACCGTCTTTTCGTCGTCGTCGACGCCGCTGACCGTGCCCACGCGGAGCGCGCCGTTGGAGTTGACCTCCACGAGGGCGCCGACGCCCAGCGGGTAGAGCCGCTTGAGCACGCCCAGGGCCGCCTTGTAGTGGCCCGACGCCGCGACGTAGTCCTTGGCCTGGAAGAGCCGCGAGCCGCGCGCTTTACACTCGCCCGCGGCCTCCACGGAGTCCTTCGCCGGGGCCGGCGGCGCCACCTCGAAGTCGAGGAGGGCGCTGCAGGCGCCCGACGGCACCGTCGCCTCGGTCGCGTCTTCGTAGACGACCTCGACGGTGCCCGCGGCCGCGTCGAGGTCCGAGACCATCGCTTTCACGCACGCGTCGCCGCGCGGCGCGCGGACGCTGTTCCCCACCTTGAGGAGTTTGGACTCCGCGGCCATGGTCTCGGCCTTCTCGACGAGGTCCGCGAGCTTCCGCAGCGTCGCCGGCGACAGGTCGCCGCCGAGCACCTGCGCCTTCAGGGCCTCCATGTGATGCGGTTTACGCGGCGCTCGTCGTAATTTTTTTCGCGTTGTGTTTCGGCTGGGGCTCGACGCGACGGCTGCGGCGCTGCGAACGAGAGCTCGCGCTGCTGCGGCGCCTGCGCGCGCTCGTAGGACCGCGAAGTCGACTGTGGCAGATAGCCGCGGAGCTTGCCGCTCCTGCTCCGCGGAGAGGGCGGGGGTCTGTGCCCTCGCTGTGCCGGCCGCGACGCACACGGGTCCGCGGCGTCCCCTTCGACGTCGAGTACATGGCGGACAAGCTCTTCGCGGCCTTCACGCTCAGCCGCCGCCGCGGCCAGAGGGAGGGGAGCTCCTACACTGGCACAAATCCCGGGCCGCCAACGGCGGCCCGCCGCGGCGGGGCTCGCGGCGGAGCCGCCGCGCCGGACGGAGGAAAGAGGCCAGGCTCCGTTCCCCAAGTCATCGGATGGACATAGCGCTCGTCACAGCGAGGGCAATCTCCCTCCCCGCGCTCCGTGCCACCGAGCAGCAGGAGGTCCATGTGGAGCATCGACCCCTTCTCTCTGCTTTGCGGACCCTGGCCGCGCGCGCCGCGGTCACGGTCACTAGTGACGGTCTACGACCGGCCGGAGAACCGCGGCGAGGTGGGCAGCGTCGGCGTCGTGTCCATGGTGTCGCCGCCGTGCACCGAGCCGGGCAACCTGTGGAAGGGCATCTGTGACGCCACGGCGCCGGGGCAGCATACCCTGGTCCAGGCGACCGCGCTGAACCGCGCGCCGGCGGCGCTGGGCGGCTGGCTCTTGATGGTCCCCTCCGCGACCGCCGCGCGGACGGCGGGCTGTCCCGCCTAGCCCCACCGCTCGCATCGTGGGCACGGGGTGAAGCGCGCTGCACACCCGCCGCCCCAGCCCCGAATCGCCGGGCACTCAACCCAGCACCATCACTGTGACCATGCAGCGCGACCTCGACCTCGAGCGGCCCGGGCGGGCCGAGGCCGCGCGGCAAGAAACAGCTCATTCAGCGACAGCATGCGCGCATCGCGGCTGGTCCTCGGCCGCGCCGTGCGGCAGCGCGCCGTCGCCGCGCGGCGGCCGCAGGTGCCGCGCGCGCCCGTGCGCCTGCTGTCGGCGAAGGCGCCGGAGGAGAAGACGGCCGCGGCCGAGAAGGAGCCGAGCGCCGAGGAGCCCGAGGACGAGGCCGCGGAGTCGTCGCCGTCCATCGGGAAGCGCCTCATCGACGGCTGGGAGGCGCTGTCGGCGCGGGCGCGCACGCTCGACGCGAAGGAGGTCGCGCGCATCGCCGAGGGCGAGCTCCGGCAGGCCTACGCGGAGCTCACGGGCGCGGATCGCGGCAGCGTGCTGAAGACGTCCGTCACGTTCCACGACGACGCCGCGGCGCCCGCCGCCGACGGCGCCGACGAGGTCGACGAGCGCGAGAAGCAGCTCCTGGTCATCGACGCGCGCGACAACTGGGAGAAGCTCCGCGCGCGGCTCAAAGAAGCCCCGATCATCTCCGACATCCTCAAGGGCGCGGGCAAGGCGCGCGACGCGGCCGCGGCGACGGCGGCGGGCCGCGCGGCGGCGGCGGGGCGGGACCGCGTGAACGACAAGATCGAGGACGCGCGCGAGTTCTGGGAGACGAGCCAGAACCCGCTCGTCTACCAGGCGTCGTCGATCGTCGACGCCGTGACGGCGGAGACGGACATGGCCGCGGCGACGCGGGAGCTGCGGCGGCTGGACCCCCGGTTCTCCATGGAGGTCTGGCGCGACGGCGTCTCCGAGGAGCTCGCGCCGGACTTTGTGGACGCGTTCATCCGCGGCGACGCCATCGCGCTCAAGCCCTGGCTCTCCGAGGGCCTCTTCTCGCGGCTCGCGCACGAGATTCGCCTGCGCAAGGAGGAGGGCCTGCGCTACGACGACGCGCGCATCATGGACGTGGAGAAGATGGAGATCATCGCCGTCCAGGTCGAGGACAACCGCAGCCCCATCGTCGTCTGCCAGTTCATGGCGCAGCAGATCAACTGCATCCGCAACGCGGAGGGCGAGGTCGTCGAGGGGTCGCCGGGCGACATCCGCGCCTACTTCTACGTCATGGCCTTCCAGCGCGAGTACGACGACGCCGCCCACGAGCTCGTCTGGAAGGTCGTCGACTTCCAGCTCGGCGGCGGCGAGCCCTACTACTAGGATACCACGTCGTAAGGCGCCGTTTCGCTCGCCCTAACGCTTCGTCGTCAGGTGCGGTTACGCTCCCCCCCCTCACTTCTTTTTGCGCCCCCTCGGCGTGTAGGTGTCGAAGGACGCGAGGACGGCCTTGTACTCCTTCGTGACGCAGAAGCGCTGGAGGTTGCCGCGGAGGTTGTTGGAGATGCACTTGAGGACCGGGTCGTAGAGGTCCCGGGGCGGCTTCGGGTCGCCCTCGTCGACGTCCGCGAAGTACTTCTTGACGTGCTTGTCGGCCTTGGCGGAGATGTTGATGAGCTCCTCCGTGTCCGTCGTGATGAAGCGGTCCCGGATCTGCTTCGCCAGCGCGTAGGTCTCCGCGGCGGGCGCGCCCGTGTCGATCTTGCCCCGGTATTCCTCGACCATGCCCCAGCAGTGGTAGTTCTCGCTCGAGAACTCGTCGTCGAGCGTCTTCTTGAGCAGCGGCGCCGTCGACGGGTGGAGGAGCAGCGCGCCCACGGACGCTTTCGTCCCCAGGGCCTTGATCTCGAACTCGGCGGCCACGGACGGCGACTGGAGGCAGAGGCTCTGGAAGTTGGAGCCGCAGACGCGCGCGAGCGACGTCGGCGCGGTGGCCGTCACCGTCGCCGCGCGCGGCTCCGACCGCACGAGGGCCACCTCGCCGAAGTAGTCGCCCTTGCGGCTCAGGGCCACGTGTAAATTTTCGCCGTCCTCGATCTTCACCGCGCCCTCGATGATGATGTAGAAGTCGTCGCCCTCGCTGTCCTTCTCGAAGACGACGTCGCCGTCCGACAGATTCACGATGGATAGATCCGCGGTGAACAAGGCGATGGACGCCGGGCGCATGGAGTTGAACAGCCCCAAATTCATGGCCACGAGCTGCGCGGACAGCCGGTCCTTGATGTAGCCCTGGATCTTCTCCTTGACGTCCGGGAGCTTGAGGAGCGACTCCTTCATCGCGTCCGACTCGAAGTAGATGAAGAGGCACTCGCTCGCCGTCGTCACGGACGCCGTCGACGAGATGGGCGCTAAACCCTGGTCCTTGTCCGCCGCGTTCAGCAGGCTCGACTCGCCGAAGAAGTCGCCCGCGAGGAGCTGCCCGACCTCGACGGCCTCCGTTTCGCCCGCGCGCTCGCGCGGCGACTTGGACGACGCCTCGCAGGTCACCTTGAGCACGCCGGACAGCACGACGTACAGCCGCGGCACCTTGGCGTGCTGCTCGATGAGCACCGTGTCCGCGGGCATGGACTGGAAGTGCGCGACGTCCGCCAATTCCTCGAGCGCCTTCTCCGCGACGTCGCGCAGGACCACGACCTTCTTGAGCCAGTTCACGATGGCCGCGCGCGTGAGCCCCATGAGGTTGTCGCAGAAGAGGCGGCACGCCTCGTGGTCGCGGTTCGCGACGAGCTGGCTCAGGTAGACGTCCTGCGACAGCACGAGGACGTGCGTCTTCGCGTCGGCGACGACGTCGACGGGGTACTCGCCCGTGGACTTGTCGCGCTCCTGCTCCACGTTGCGCACGAGCTCCATCATGCCCATCATCTCGCCCTGCTCGACGTGCTTGATCACCGGCCGGTCCTTCTTGTGCGTCTTGTCCTCGCCGTGGCAGCTCACCTGGGCAGGACAAGGGAGATTCAAGTTCGCTTCAACGTGAGTGTTCCGCGCGCGCGCGTTCCGGAAAAAGCATCCACGCTTCGAGGCCGTTCCGAGAGATGATCGCTCGTCCAAAAATCAGCCGAAACGAGTGGAAAACGGCCGAGATATGAGCCTTTGAAGTTGGGAATTTCGCTCTCTTGTCCTCGCCGTGGCAGCTCACCATGGTGAGGCCGCCCTTCTCCACGATCACCAGGTCGCGCCGCCCGACCTTGTGGTCGAAGACGGAAGCGCCCGCGGGGATGGACTGGCGGTGGAAGAAGGACGCGACCTGCTCCTTGAACTGCTGGCTCTGCTCCGCGCTGTCCAACCCGTCGAAGCAGCGGAAGATCGGCGTGTGGTCGCAGGCGTCGAGGTACTCGGACCCGTTCGCCGCCTTGCCCTGCCCGCCGCCCATGGCGGCGCCGAGTGCGCGCGCGCCGTCGCGAGAGCTGCGGCGGTAAGGGCTCGCTTCGCTAAGAACAACGAGTGTGTAAAGGATTGGGTAAAGTATCCCATCATATGTTTTGTTTGAGGGGCAGCGTCGGCGGCGCGCTTGCGATCATTCGTTCATACGAAGTTCAGGCATTCCGGTGAAAGGCACGGTGAATTTGGCCGCCGTTAAAATTCAACATCAGCCGCACCTGGGGCGCCGGAACGTCGCCATTGATGCAGATCAATAAGAGCTTGCTGTGGGGTAACATTGCCCGGGTCGCTAACCAGCAAGCCTCGGGCAAATCGCGTAAGGCGCGCGAAGGCCGCCGACGAAACGCAGTGAAGCCCCCCGCGCGCCGCTCGCCCCGAAGCCTCGACGGCGCGCCGCACGCCGCGCCGCCGCACGCGCCGCACGCCGCGCCGCACGCCGCCGCACTCCGCCGGAACGCGCCGCGCCGCCGCGCCATGCAGACGGAGACGAAGCGCAAGCCCGCGGCGTCCGCCGCCGCGGCGCCCCGCGCCGACGACGCGCCCCCGGCGCCCGACGCGCCCCTGCGCGTGCCCAAGGTCGCGGGCGCGCCCGCGCCCGGCGTCCTGCACTGCCTCGTGACGCCGAAGCTCCTCTTCTCGGTTCCCCGCGACGCGAGCTGGCGCGTGGCCGGCGACGTGCCGCAGGGCGTGCTCCGCGAGGGCTTCTCGCGGCGCTTCCCGCTGACCATCGCGGGGCTGGACCACCTGTCCTTCGAGGCCGTGGGCAAGCGCGCGCTCGGCGCCGCGGCCGCCGGCGCGGACCCGCCCGCGGTCTACCGCCTCACGTCGTCCGACGAGGCCGAGGAGCGGATCCTGCTGGGCATCCTGCGCGCGCTCGAGCGCGCCTACGAGAGCAAGCACCGGCTGGCCCTGGACCAGGCGCGCACGGACATGCTGAGCTCGTCGATGACCTTCCAGGTCATGGCGGACGAGATCCGCGCGCGGCAGGAGGAGTCCAAGGCCAAGTTCGACAAGGAGACGGCCAAGCTCAAGGACAATCTGACGACGACGTCGAAGCGTTTGTTTTTGCTCGAGCACGAGAAGGACTCGCTGACGAAGGCCTTCCACTCGTCGACGGAGACGACGCAGCTGCTGCAGAACACGGTCGAGAAGCTGCACCGGGAGAATTTGGAGATGCGCGACCGCATGGCCAAGCTCGAGAGCCGCCTCGCCGAGGTCTGCGACGGGCGGGGGTTCGCGGACGTCGCGCCCGCGGCGCGGCCGCCCGTCGCGTCCGCGACGTCGCACACGCAGACGGAGCTCGTCATCCTCGCGCCGTCGGCCGCCGCGGGTGTGTCCGAGACTAAGAGCTCCTAGCGCGCGCGACCGGCCGGGCGCGGCGCAGCGCGGGTGCCAGCACGTAAGCCAGCACGCTTCCCGAGCAGCAACTCCGACATCAACGAATCCCATATCTTGCACGATAACGCATCGTCGGAGAGCCATCGTCCCCTCCCCCACGATGGTGGCCATGGACCTCAACGACGGCGACCTGGCGAACCTGAGCGTGGACCTCGGCGGGTCGACGCTGCGGTCCGCGGGCACGCTCAAGACCGGGCGCCTCGCGACGACGGAGGCCCGCCGCGGCCTCGGGCGGCGGTCCACGGTGTCCATCCCGTCCAAGTTCGAGACCGTGCTCCTGGACCCGAGCAACGAGTCGAACGCCTTCGGGAACCGCACGCACCGCTTCAAGCGCCAGCTCACGGACCAGCCGGGCCCCGGGGCCTACTACAACAAGCCGACCTTCATCCGCGACATGAGCAACTGCGGCTCCGTGAGCCACAAGGGTTCCATCACGTTCGCGAGCTCGTCGACGCGCTTCCGCGACGCGGCGTCGGCCAAGGGCACGCCGGGCCCGGGCAGCTACCGCAGCCCGCCGACGACCCTGGCCGCGTCGAGCGACCACCGCGTGACGTCGACGACGCGCGTCTTCACGCGGCCCACCCAGCAGTCGCGCGGCGACGCCGCGTCCGCGGCGAAGATGCCCGGCCCGGGGTCCTACGACCCCTACGCGCCGACGGCCGCCATGGGCCGCGACCAGCGCCACGGCAACTCGAACTTCCGGAGCACCGTGTCGCGCATGGCGGCCGCGCAGGGCAACACGCTCGGCCCCGCGCCGGGCGCCTACAACGTCGCCGCGGCGTCGGAGACCCTGCGCATGCAGGGCAAGCTCGTCAACGGCAAGCTCCCGGAGAACGTCGTCTTCCGGAGCCGCGTGCCCCGCGACGGCTGCGGCGTGAGGGACGAGGCGTACCTGCCGCACAAGCAGGCCAAGGGCGTGCTCGGCGGCGTCGAGGGCGCCTACAAGGAGGCCGCGGCGCTGCGAAGTCTCGTGGGCGCGTCGGAGATCCTGCTCCCGCGCGAGGTCGCGTTCGCCGAGGCCGCGCCCGCCGTGCCGGGCCCGGGCGCGTACGACGCGACGGGCGCGTACCACTCGACGAAGCTGGACCGCACCATGCTCAACCACAGCTCGTCCATGTTCTCCAACATCACGTTGGACCGCTGGGGCCGGCCCATCAAGCCCAAGACGTCGCCCGAGGTCGCGCCGGGGCCGGGCTGGTACGACGTCGACGTGCAGATCGCGCCGCCGCCGCCATCGGGCCACCCGCGGAAGACGGCGCTGTCCTCCGCCTTCGTCTCGGGCACGCGGCGCCTCCACTCGTCCTCGAACAAGACGCACGCGCCGGGCCCGGCCTTCTACAAGCCCGAGCGCCACGACCGCAAGTCCTTCCTCCTCAACGCGCAGCGCCGCTGGATCTAGGTAGTGCTTTTGAAATTCGAGTGGGGTGTGTGGCTGGGGCGGCGTCGCGCTTGCGCGATGTCTGCGCTGAGGCCGCTCACTCCAGCAGTGCACGTGAGGCGTCCAAGGCAGAAACCGTAGAGTGAGAGGGTGTCGACCCCCGGAGGTTTGAATCGTTTGAATCGTGAGATCCACACGCGGCCGCTCGATTTTGAGCTGCACGACCGCGACCTCGACGACCGCGCGCCGACGCGCATCGCGAGGACCGGAGGCGCGGACTGCATCGGCAAGCGCCCATGGCGCCGCGCGAATCCCTGGAGGCGGAGAAGCCGCTCTACCAGCGCCCCTGGTGGGAGCTCTGGGACGGGCTGCGCGACGCGGGCTGGAGCAAGGCGAAGCTCGGGCGCGAGTACCGCTTCGTGCGGCCCGGCTGCGCGAGCTGCCACGGCGACGCGAACCTGGACTGGTTCGCGTCGCCCGAGGACGTCGCCGAGTTCGCGGCGGACCAGGAGCTCGACGGCGAGGACCGGGCCGGCGAGCTCGAGTGGTGGGAGCTCTGGGACGCGCTCAAGGACGGCGGCTGGTCCCGCGGCGGGCCGCGGAAGAAGCTCTTCGTGGCGCCCGGCGCGTCCCTCGAGGGCGTCGAGGGCCTCGACTGGTTCGCGAGCCCGGACGCGGTCGTCGGCCACCGGAAGACGTCCGCCTACGGCGCCGCGGCCGCGAACCGGTCGCGGCCCGCGGCGCCCGCGGCGCGGTTCCCGGACTCGGGCGCCGCCTGGGCCGAGCTCGAGACCTTTGGGTGGACGCTCAAGCAGGGCCTCTTCTTCCGGCCGGGGGGCCTGACGGCCGCGGCCGGCGGCGCCGAGGGTTTGGACTTCTACGGCGACCGCGCGGCCGCGTGCGCGGCCGCGTGCCGCCTCGGCGTCGGCGTCGACGGCGCCACGGGCGCCTTGCGGGAGGACGAGTTGGCGCTGAACGACGCGGCATCCGACGCCGCGGAGCGCGACGGCGCGTCCGACGACGAGGACGCGATGCGCCGGGAATCGCTCCGCCGCATGTCGTGCCCGAACGAGGCGCTGGGCCTGACGGACACGCCGCGCTGGCCCATCTTCGACAACTCGCCCGTGGACTACAAGGGCTACGGGGGCCGCGACGACCGGCCCCGGAGCCGGCCCGGGTCGCGGCGGAACACGGACCGGAAGAGCCAGGCGCCGAAAGAGTCCTCGGACTCGCCGCGCGACCTCTGGGACCTGCCCTGGGGCGAGCTCTGGCCCGAGCTCAAGGAGCTCGGCTGGGCCTGGGTCCAGGGCCTGGGTTTGGAGGAGCGGCGCTACCTCCGGCCCGGCGCGCCGTCGAAGAAGTCCGCGCAGCGGCTCGGCCGCGACTACTTCCGCGACGCCGCGGACGTCGTCGACTTCCTGCGCCAGCGCCGCGTCGACGGCGTCGACATCTTCGGCCACGTGGGCGAGGACGGGCCGTCGCCCCGCGACGACGAGCGCAAGGCCGTCACGGAGCCGTCCGAGGCCGAGCCCGAGGAGGCGGAGGAGGAGGAGGCGGAGGCCGCCGCCGCGTCGTCGTCGTCCGACGACGAGGCGGCGGACGCGGGCCCGGCCCTGTGGCAGCGGTCCCCGAAGGAGGTCTGGAAGGAGCTGCGCAAGCACGGCTGGAAGTGGGCCAACGGCTCCCTGGAGTACGACTACCACTACGTGCGGCCGGGAGCGCGCAAGGGCCGCGCGGCCGTGCTCGGCGTCGACTACTTTGGCACGGAAGCCCAGGTCATCGCCTACGTGCGCCGCGCGCGCGTCGACCTCGTGCGGCGCTTCGGCCACGTCGACGAGGACGGCGACCCGCCGAGCCCTTCGAGCGACCTCGAGTCGGCCGCGAAGCGCGCGCAGGGCGGCACGAAGCGCGTCCGCGCGCTCGCGCGCCGCGCGGCGGGCGACGGCGGCGCCAAGTGGACCGAGCCCTTCAACCCGGCCTGGGCCGAGCTCCGGGAGCTCGGCTGGGAGTGGCGCTACGGCAAGCAGGGCGCGACGCACTGGGTCCGGCCCGGGCTGCTCGACGGCTCCGGCAAGGTCGAGGCGCGCCACGCGCTGGGCCGCGACTACTTCGACGACGAGCGCGCCGTCCTCGCCTTCGCCAACGAGTGGCGCGTCGGCGAGGCCGGCCGCACGGGCGACGTGCGCGAGGCGCCGCCGAAGCCCGCGGACGTCGACGACCGGCCCAAGCGCGGCGCGCCGCCGAAGAAGAACGAGCCCAAGGCGAAGGCGCCCAAGGAGAAGAAGCTCGTCGCCAAGGCCCGGAAGAAGATCGCCAAGCGCGAGGCCGCGAACGGCGGCACGGGCGAGGCGAAGCGGAAGGCGCCGGAGCCGTCGCCGTCCGAGGCGCCGCTCTGGCAGCTGCCCGTGGCCGCGCTCTGGCTCCGCCTCAAGAAGGACCACGGCTGGGCCGACGCGCGCGGTGACGCTTTACGGAACTGGTTCCACGTGCGGCCCGGCGCGGCCGCGGACCGCAAGCGGTGGGTCGAGGGCGTCGACTTCTTCGGCGACCAGGTCGCCATGCGGGCCTTCGTCGTCGAGAACCGCATCGACGGCGTCACGCTGACGGGCGCCGTCGGCGAGGTCTACGAGTCGCGCGCGCCGTCGCTGACCGAGGTGCCGCTCGCGGACATGTGGGCGCGCTTGAAGGCCTGCGGCTGGGTCATGAAGCGGTCGACGGACGCCGCCAAGGACAAGTGGCGCTACTTCCGGCCGGGGGCCGACGCCAACGAGGTGCCGCCGGAGAAGGCCCACTTCTTCTACTCGCTCGAGGACGTGCGCGCGTTCGTCGACGCGGAGCGCGTCGATCTGGTGAAGCGCTTCGGCGCCGTCGACGAGCCGTCGAAGAAGGCCGCGAAGCGCGCGAAGAAGCGCGCGCCGTCGCCGGCGGCGTCGCCGGAGCCCGAGCCCGAGTCGTCCGAGGACGAGGCCGTGTCGCCGAGCCAGCTCGCGCTCTGGGAGCTGCCCTTCAAGATCATGCTCAAGGAGCTCCTGGCCTGCGGCTGGACCTACCGGCCCGGCGGCGCGCTGTCCTACTACTGGTACTTCCGCCCCGGCGCCGTGCTGGACAAGCGCATCGCGCGGCCCGGCGTCGACTACTTCACGTCCGAGGAGGACACCATCGCCTTCGTCAAGAAACGCGGCCTCGACGGCGTCCACCGCACGGGCCGCGTCGGCGAGGACGACGACGACGACGACGGCGCGAGCGACGACGGCGACGACGACGACGACATGGACGACGGCGACGACGACGACGCCGGCGGCGGCGCGGGCGGCCGCGCGCGCGGCGGCCGCCGCGACGACGACGACGGCGACGACGGCGACGACGACGCGGACGACGACGACGACGACGACGCGCCGCCGCCGGGCGGCCGCGGCGGCTACAAGTCGGGCAAGCAGCAGCGCGGCAAGCGCGGCGGCGGCGCGCGCTGCGCCGTCATGGACGTCGACGACGCGGGCGACGAGGCGGCGGCGCCCGCGGCGGCGCCCGCGGGCACGCCGCCGGGGTCGCCGGCGGCGGCGGCGCGGGGCTCCGGCGCGACGGCGGAGCTGCCGCCGCGCGCCGACGGCAGCGACGACGAGTCGCTCGTCTTCAACGCGGCGTGCTCGCCGACGCAGAGCTCGCCGGGCAAGGCCGCGGCCATGGACGAGGACCCGGAGCCTGCGGCGGACGCCGCCGTCGCCGAGGCCGCCGTCGCCGAGGCCGACGACGGCGACGACGGCGACGTCGCCGAGGCCGAGGCCGACGACGCCGACGACGTCGCCTTCGCCGACGCCGACGCCGACGACGACGACGACGACGTCGCCTTCGCGGCGCCCGACGACGACGACGACGCCGTCGCCGAGAGCGACGGCGCCGCGCCCGCGGCGTCCGACGACGACGCCGCCTTCGCCGAGGCCGAGGAGGACGACGAGCCCGCGCCCGACGGCCTGGCGGCGTACGCGGCCTGGGCGGCCTACGCGGGCGTCGAGGCCGCGCCGGAGGCCGCGGCCGCGGCCGCGGGCGCCGCGGACGACGCCCTGCGGCCGCGGCGGGGCCGGGACGGCGACGCCGGCGCCAAGGCGCCCGTGTCCGTGTCCGCGCGCGTCTTCGACGCCGCCTACGCCGCGCTCGGCAACCACTTCGGCACGCTCTACAGCGCCTTACTCAAGCCCGCGGGCTGGACCTTCCTCGCCTCGACGCAGCTCGAGGCGCGGGGCGGCCTCTACGTCGCGCCCCACGCCAAGGACACGGCCCCGAAGGACCGCGCCGTCGGCGTCGACGTGTTCCGCGGCGCGGACGACGTCGTGTCGCGCGTCCGCGACGACCCGGCCGTGGCCGAGGCCCTGCGCGCCTTGGCCGGCGACGCGCGCGAGTCCCTGAAGGGCGGGCTCGCCTACGTGCCCGACGACGACGCGTGCGTCGCCGCGGTCGCGCTGGGCGTCGCGGCGAAGCGGCCGACGGCCGAGGACCGCGCGTTCGGCGACGTCGCGCCCGGCGCCGCGGCCTACTTCAAGGGCGTCGGCGGCGCCAAGAACCGGCGCGCGAAGCGCGCGCCGCCCGAGGACGGCAAGAAGCAGTCGAAGCGGAGCCGGCGCTGCGACGCGCGCGACTGCCGCGAGGCCTTGGAGGCCAAGGCCGACGCGCTTTGGGTCGCGGCGCAGGGCGAGCTCATCTGGCCCACGGACGCCGCCGTGCGCGCCTACAAGCCCGCGGAGTGCGAGGCGACGACGCTGAAGATCCCCAGGACCACGCGCGGAAGCGCTTCGGGCTCTGGCGCGCGCGGCTCTTCGCGGGCTGGAGCCTGTGGGTCTCGGGCATCGGCTCCAAGTACCGGCTCCTCGAGAAGTTCGCCGACGAGGCCCTGGCGCCCTGCGGCGACGTCGTCATGATCGACGGCTTCGACGCGGACGTCGAATTGCGGCTGGAGCTGCTCCGCGCGGCGACGGCGTTGGAGGCGCGCCTGCCCCCGGCGGGCTGCGACGCGGACCGGTCGACGGCGCTCGGCGTCGCGAGGCGCCTCGTGAGCGCGCTGAACAAGCGCGGCGACCGCACGATCTTCGTCGTCCACAGCGCGGACGGCAAGCGGCTGCGGTCGCCGGACGCGCAGCGCGCGCTGGCGGCGCTCCGGTCGGAGACGACGCACTTGGTCGCGTCCTTCGACCACTGCAACGCGCCGTTGCTCTGGGACGGCGACAGCGAGGCCAACTGGCTCGCGGCGGACGGCACGACCTTTGACTGGTTCGACCGCGAGGCGCCGCGGTTGGGGGCCTTGGCCGGGTCGGCGGACGCGGCCAAGGGCGGCGCGGGCAAGCTCCTCGACACGTCGGGCCTCGAGTTCGTGCTGCTGTCGCTGACGCCGCGCCACGTCGAGATCCTCAAGCTCCTCGCGGCCCACCAGAAGGCGCTCCGCGACCGGCCGAAGCACGTCAAGGAGCGGCCGGGCGCCGACCAGGCCGCGCCCGAGGGCATGCTCTTCAAGGCGCTCAAGACGGAGTGCCGCTACAGGATGATCGCCACGTCCGAGGACCAGGTCAAGAACTACCTCGTCGAGCTCACGGACCACAACCTCGTCACGAAGAAGGTCCACCTCGGCTCCGTCTTCGTCTGCATGGCGCCGGACTACGTCGACAAGATCCTCGCCGCGAACGTGTAAGCGGCGAGATGAAGCGCTCTTAGGGGGCCGCGCGGGGGCGACGTTCAACCGGCGGCCGCGCGAAGCCCGCTCTAGGCGTCCGCGGACGCGGCGTCCGCGGCCTTGTCGTCCTTGTTCTCCTCCTCGTCCTCGTACGCGTCGAACGAGTCGCGGCGCGCGCGCTTCTCCGGGGCGGCGTCGCCCTTCGGGCTCTCGGCGTCCCCGCGCCGCGTCGCGACGAGGCGCAGCTCGACCTTGCACTTGAAGTCGTCGCCCTCCTTGGGCACGGAGAAGGACGGGTGGATCCGCGCGACGACGCCGTCGCCCTCGAGGAACTTTTGCGCCTGCCACGCGGCCTTGAGGCCGCGCGTCACGCACTCGGCGCCCATGGCGTGCAGCACGACGACGTCCGTCTGCTCCTCGCGGAACGCGTGGGCCACGGCGCCCGCGACGGCCGCGGGCTTGGACCTGGGCAGGAAAAGAGTGCGAAATTCCCAACTTTGGAGGCGCCTCTCTCGGTCGTTTTCCAATCGTTTCGGGTAATTTTTGGACGAGCGATCATCTCTCGGAGCGCTCTCGACGCGTGGATGCTTCTTCCGGCACAACGCGCGCGCGGAACACTCATGTTGAAGCTAAATTGAAGCACTCCTTGCCTGCCCCGGCTTGGACCGCTGCGAGACGTTGAACGCCTTCGGCTCGCCGGCGTCCGGCGCGACGGGCGGCGCGGTCCGGACCGTCAGGCGCACCTCGTTGCTGAAGGGCCGCTCGTCGCAGCCGACGAACGTGGCCTCCGCGGCGAGGCCCAGACCCTCGTCGGCGAGGTACTTGCGGGCGAGGCACAACGCCTTGACGGCGATGTTGATGGCCGGCGGGCCCGCGGCCTTGAGGCCCACGGCGTGTTCTGCGCTCCGCAGGTGGTTCGCGACGTAGCCCGCGGTCTTGCGGACGTCGCTCTTGTGTGCGACGTTACCGACCGTGGTGGGCGCCGCCCACCATGCCGAGTCGTCGGCCATGGTCTCACAAGGATTTCCACGAGCTCCGCGGCGAGGGCCTCAGGCGCCGATCCGCCCCCTCCCGACGCACTCCTGGCGACGCATGGGAGACGCCTTGGGAGGCCTCATGAGGTAACAACGGGGCGGCCTTTACTCCTAGGATGCGCAGGCCGCGGAGATGGCGGCGTCGAGCTCGCGGGGGTTCGGCCGCGTTTTCCGTCGAGGCGCGGCGGGCGCGGGCGGAGGCGCCGCGGCCGCGGGCTTCGCGGGCCGCCGCCGGGGCGCGCGGACCTCGAGGCCGGGCGCTGCGGCGCGCCGCGGCGCCGGCGGCGGAGCGGTCGCGGGCGGAGACTTCACCGGAGCGGGCGCCTCGGGTACCGCGGCCGCCGCCGGAGGATCCGGCGCCTCCGGTACCGCGACCGCCGCCGCGCCCGCCGGAGGATCCGGCACCGGCCGGCGCTTCCTGGGAAACACCGCGTCGCCGAAGAACGGGTGTCGCCGAAGCGCCGCGTGGTCGGGCCGCGCCGCCGGCGCCGGGTCCGACAGACGCCGGAGCAGGTCCGCCGCGTGCGGAATCGCCGACGCGTCGTCGGCCGCGCCCTCGCCCACGAGCGCGCGGCGGCAGAAGGCGCCGAAGCTCCAGAGGTCCGCGGCGCAGGGCGCGTAGCCGGTCGCGCCGGGCGTTTTCACCTCCGGAGCGACGTAGCCGGGCGTGCCGCAGATCGTCCGGCGCCGGTCGCGCGGCGTCTCGAGACACGCGGCCACGCCGAAGTCGCAGAGGCGCACGGCGCCGTCGCTGCCGGAGAGCACGTTGCCCGGCGCGACGTCGCGGTGGGCCACGAGGCATTTGTCGTGGAGGAACGCCAAAGCCGCCGCCAACTCCGCCAGGCGTCGCGCGACCTCGCCTCGATCCAGCGGCGGCGCGCCTTCCGGCAGCAGCGGGCCGTCGGGCGCGGCCTCGAGCAGCAGGTGCAAGTGGCCCTCGTCCTCGAAGGTCGCGACGAGCGCCGCGACGTGCGGCGCGCCGGCGGCCAGCGCGGTCGCGCGGACCTCGTCGACGAGGCAGGCGGCGTGGCGCCGCCGCCGCACGAGCGCCTTGTCGACGGACTTGAGCGCGAAGTAGCGGCCGCTGGCCTCGTGGCGCACGAGGGCCACGGCGCCGTAGCTGCCCTGGCCTAGTTGGGTTTCCTGCCAGAAGTCGTGCGTCGTGAGCGGGGCGCTGCGCCAGGCCGGCGGCGCGTCGGCTAGCAAGGAGGCGGCGTAGGCGGCGGCGGGCATCGGTGGTGGTTGCGGCGCGGCGGTGTGTGGCTGCGATGCTCTGGTGCGGTGGTTGCGGCGCGGCGCGGCGGTGTTTGGCTGCGGTGCTCCGGTGCGCTGGCTACGGCGTCATGGCCATGGTCTTGATGGATTCAGGGCTGCCCGACAGAGAGCACCATCGTGTTCACGGTGCACCCTCTCCAAATCTCGCCGGGGGTTTTTGGTGCGGGGCGATCATCTCTCGATCTCTCTGCTGCAAGGTCGCGACGCAATCGCACCGCGCGCTGCTGCTGCCATGAAGGCGGGTCTGGTTTTCGCGGCCCTCGCGGCCACGGCGAGCGCGCTCGTCGCGCCGAGCACGCTGCGCACGGGCGTGCGATCCCGAACGCTCGCGCCGCTGAACATCGAGAAGGGCTCCATCGTGCGCATCCTTCGGCCCGAGTCGTGCGGTGCCCGCGTCCCCGCGCCGCCGCGGCGCGCCGCCCGCTTTACGACGCCGGCCGGCGGCGCCGACGCGAAACTCCCGCAGGTACTGGGCCAACGACCTCGGCACCGTCGCGTCCGTCGACCAGTCGAACGTGCGGTACGGCGTCGTCGTCCGATTCGAGAAGGTGAACTACCAGGGCGTCAACTCGAACAACTACGTGCGCCGCCGCGTCCCATGGCGCGCCCCGCGCGCCGTTAGCGCGGCGCCGCATCGGCGCCGCGCGGCCGCGCGGCGCGCGGCCCGTTTCCGAGCCGCGGCCGCGGACTCGTTTCGACGCGCGCGCCGCGGCCCCCGGGCGCCCCCGGGCTCCGCGGCGCCTCATCCCGCCCCGCCCCGCAGGCGCTCGACGAGCTTCTCGAGGTCGAGAAGCCCCCGGCCAAGGCCAAGGCCAAGGCGAAAGCCAAGGCGAAAGCCAAGGCGGACTAGGCGCCGCCCGACGCGCGGATGCGGGCCGGCGGGCCGCGGCCGGCGACAGGCCGGCCTCGGCGGCGGCGATCCGGCACTGGGAGGCACCTTTTGCGGCGTGCGAGCCAAAATTGTAAAAGTTGACCGGACGTTCGCCCCGCGCGATCGGCGCCGCCGCCGGCCGCGGGGCCGGGGGCCGCCGCCTAGGGGCAGTGGGTGCCGGTTGCGAGGGCCTCTCGGAGGAGGAAGCTTGGTGCGGCTTGGCTTCATCACTGCGCGAGAGTTCCGCGGAGAACAAGGGGGGACTAGTTAGCGGACGATACCCGCGGGCGTCATCGCCCCACTTCGCGGGCGTCCTGCTTCTTGCGCCACTCCTCGTTGAAGCTGCGCGTCTTCTCGAAGTTGGCCCGGCGCTTCTCCTCCTTCTCCTCCTTGAAGCACCAGTCCATCGCGGCCTTTTCGTCGTTGCACGCGCCCCAAAACTTTCCGTACGGGTTCTCGTCGTGGCACTTGACGAGCAGGTCGACGAGCTGCGCGCGGGCGGGTGGGTTGCGCGCGCGCGCGACGGGTAGCGGCGGGCGACGGCGCGCGGAGCGGGTGCGCGCGCGCGCGCGGAGACGCGGGTGCGCACCGCTGCGCACTTGGGGTGCGGCCGGTACAGCGGCGGATGCATGCTCGCTTCGCGGAGCGCTAATAGCAGTCGCGATGCGCTGGTCTACGGCGCGCGCAGCCGACCGTCGACCGTCGACGCGACCCACGACGGCGCGCAGCACTCGTCGACTTCGCCGCCACTTCAGAGCTCTCTGGCCGAAGGAGCTGCTCGCTTGCCCGGCAACTTGCCGCCGCATGGGCTCGCAATGGGCTCCCTTGTGCCGTAGCATAGCGATGAGCGCTGCGTGTTTGCCTTGAAGCGATGAGAGGCGCCACGCGCTGGCTCGTCGTGCTCGGCGCGTGGTGGGTGGTCTCCGGGCTGCTGCTCGGGAGCTGGCTCGGCCGCCAGCGGCAGCCCGACGTCGCCGCCGCGGCGCCGCCCGTCGACGCAGCGCCGCCGGCCGACGCGCCGCCGGCCGACGCGCCGCCAACCGACACCGGCCTCTTCGACGCCGCCTGCTCGGGCCGCACGTGCGAGCGGTCGCGCCTGGGCCTCGAGGAGCCGCTGAGCGTCCACGTGTGGCGCACCGGCAGGGAGGACGCTCAAAAGGGCTGGCGCTTCCGCCACCTGCTGGACCAGGGCCTCGCGGCGCACCCGGCCGTGGACGTCGTCGACAGCGCGCACCACGCCGACGTCGTGCTCTGGCTGCCCCAGTGGGCCGCGAAGGCGCCCCTCGGCCTCGCGCACGCCGACGAGAAGCTCGTGATCTTGGACGAGCACGACGACCGCGAGCGGCGCTTCGGGCCCTACGCCGCCCAGCGCGGCGACGCCTACCTGGCCTACTTCAAGCGGTCCTTCGCCAACAAGAGCGACGGCGCCTTCCTCGGGTTCTCCGAGCCGCTCTTTCCGCGCTACTACGCCATGCAGTACGTCGTTTTCCAACGAATCGCCCGACGTGTTCCGCTTATAGGTACAGCGTCTCGTCGGCCTACCTCCTCGACGAGGACGCGGTGGGGCCGCCGCGGGAGCTCGACGTCGTCTGCACGCTCCGCGTCGGCGCGGGCCGCTACCCCGCGCGCGCGCGCGTGCTCCTCTGGGCCCGGGAGCTCGCGCGGGAGCGACGCCTCAGCGGCTTCTTCGGCGAGTTCGACACGTCCCAGCGCAACGTCATCTCCGCGCCCTACTTTGCCCTCATGCGCCGCGCGCGCGTCGTCGTGACCTGCAACCCGGGCGACTGGGAGGGCGACTTCCGGACCTGGGAGGCCGTCGCGTCCGGCGCCTCGGTGTTCATGGACCGCCACTACGCGCCCATGCCCCACGCCTTCGTCGACGGCGACGACGCGTATATCTACGACAACGGCGACGGGCCCGCGTTCAAGGCGCGGCTCGGCGGCGCGCTCGCGCCGGCCAACGCGTCGCGGACCGCGGAGGCGGGAGAAAGAGGCCTCCGGAAGGCGCTCCGCCACCACCGCGCGGTGTCGCGCGTCGACTGGCTCCTCCGGTCCGCCCTCGCGCAGCACCCCAAGTCGGGACCGTTCCGCGCGCCGGGCTTCGACGAGCCCGAGCTCGGCCACGCGCTCCTGGCCCGGGCGCTCGCGGACCCGCCGCCGCGGACGCGCGTCCGCGCGCCCCCGCCGACGAAGGCGCAGATCGCCGAGCTGCGTTCGGCGCTCTTCCTCCACCCGGACGGCCGCGTCTTCGAGGGCAAGCGCGCGACGACGGCGGCCCTCGCCTTCTCGAAGACGGGCGTCTATAAAATGCCTTCGAGGTGACCTTCAATACTTCCTTCAATGTGTTTTCATGATGCCCTGCTGACTGGGAAAGCATGGAATGAGATGGCGCCCTTCCGGCTCCGGGTCGTGGGCAAGAAGGGCGCCGTCGTGCGCGCCGGCGAGGCGCTCGACTCGGCGAAGGTCGCGACGCTCGCGAGGGGCAGCTTCGTCTACGCCCAGGGCTACGACGCCGCGGCCAGCCGCCTGAGGGTCGCCACGCCCGACGGCCGCGGCGGCTGGGCGTCGGCCAAGGTCCTGGAAAGCGCGCCGCTGTCCTTCTGCGAGGCGCGGCGCGCGCCGCTCCTCCTCGTGGCGCGGTGCCTCGACGGCGCGTCCCTGGGGCGCCTGCGGCGGTGCGGCCGGGAGCCGAAGGCGTGCGCGGAGCGGTGGGCCAAGGCCGCGTGCGCGGCCCAGCGCACGAAGCCGCCGTCGGACTGGCGCCGGTCGACCGTGGACTGGCTCACCTACGTCGGCGCCGTCGACCGCAGGCGGCTCGACGCCTGCGCGAACCACGCGTGCCTCGTCGCCGGCGGCGCCTGCCGCTGGATCGGCGAGCGCTGCGGCTTCCGCGCGGCGACCTGGGCGCCGCTCGGGTGCCCCGTGCGCGTCGCGGCCGTCGCCTGCGGCGGCCGGGACCAGGGCGGCGCCTTCAGCCGGAGCTTCGTGCTCCTGCTCGACGTCGCGGGCCGATGCTACGCGACGGGCGAGAACGGCCACGGCCAGCTCGGCGTCGGCGACACGGACGACCGCGACGACCTCGTGCCCCTCGACCTCAAGGGCGTCCTCGCGACGCAGCTCGCGGCGTCGAGCGACTGGGCCGGCCTCGTCGCCGCGGATCGGTCTGTTCACACGTGGGGCCGCGGCCGGCGGACTTTGGGTTTGGGCGGCCCGCCGGGCAGAGACGTGCTCCGGCCCACCAAGGTGCCGGACCTCGGCCGCGTCGTGGCCCTGGCCGCGGGCGAGCGCCACGCCGTGGCTCTGGACGTCGACGGCGGCGTGCTCACGTGGGGCGTCGACGACGGCCACGGCGTCCTGGGCCGGCCGCTGACGGGCCACAAGGCGGACCGCGTCTTCCCGCTGTCGTGCCGCGTCGACGGGCCCTGGCTCGTCGACGACGTCTCCCGCGCCGAGGGGCGGCCCGCGGCGCTCGCGCTGCCCGAGGGCGCCAAGGTCGTCGCCGCGGCCGCGGGCGGCCTCCACACCGTGCTCGTGACGGCGTCGGGCGGCCTCCTGGGCTTCGGGGCGAACAACCACGGCCAGCTCGGCGTCTCGCGCCAGGGCCACCTCGACTTCGACGCGCCGGACTACGTCGACGGCGCGGACGGCGTCGTCGCGGCCGCCGCGCGCGGCCACGGGACCGTCTTCCTCGGCCGCGACGGGTCCGTCAGGGCCCTCGGCGCGTTCCAGCCCGTCCGGAGCCGGCGGCCGACGGCGCTCGACGCGGGCGGCCGGGCGACGGCCGTCGCCGCGACCGTCGACGCCGTCTACGTCCAGCTCGCCGACGCCGTCGTCGCCTTCGGCGGGGGCGCGCCGCCGGCGCTGCGCCTCGGCGCGGCCTTTCCGGCGCCGGCCGCCGGCGTCGCCGGCGACCGCGTCGGCCACGGCGCGCTGCTGCGCGCGGCCTAGGGAACGGTGGTCCTATCGCGCCCCCCCGGAGTTACTATCGCGCGGGGGGCTCCGCCAACGCCCGCTCGAGCCCCGCGACGAGCGCGGTCCGCGCGGCGCCGACGTCGCGGTCGGCGACGCCGAAGCGCGCCGCGCACCGCGACGGCGCGGCTTGCCCGTCTGCGGCGAGCGCGACGTCGACGGCCGCGGCGGCGACGGCCGCCGCCGGCAGGCCGCGGCACGTCTCGTCG